AGAGAGAGAGAGAGAGAGAGAGAGAGAGAGAGAGAGAGAGAGAGAGAGAGAGCAATGAATACAAGTTATAGATAAGTTCGCGCAGGCATGAATATCGCATGAAAAATCCGTATAAAATTGGCAAAAGTCGTGCGAATTATTTATGTTTTAGAGCCCGCGCGAATCGATACAACGGAATGAGGTGAGCGTCTCAGAAAAATGACTCTCTCGGACTCTCGTCGACGGGATGTTCTAGAGCAGTGTGTAGGGCACACGCGGTGGAGAGAAGGCGAGTACTGGAATAGTATTCCATAAAGCATTTATACGCGCACGAATCCTGTAATAGATAGCGTGCCGTCGGACGTACGAATTCTTCATTATAACGCGACTCATAATACTCCACGACGCTGCGGCCACTGTCGTCGATCGCCGGACCCGCGTCTCTCCGCAGCCGACTCGTCGCGAATTTAATCGTGGCTATAATTAGTCAGGTCGCGTCCTATAATTTTCGCGAAAAGTCAGCAAACTTTCTCTCTCTCTCTCTCTCCCGGCGGCGAGTCGTTTGCAGAACGCGAGCGTTATTCGCGGACGGACGAAATCGCGTTTCCTTCAATCTCTCCCGGGCGATCCAGATCTCCCTCTCCCCGGAAAACAAATCGGATTTTGGCTTTCGAGCTTTTCCGATGATGGTCGAGTCGCGATATGAATAAAAGAGACAGATGCGTTCGCTCGCTCGCTCGCTGGCTCTCGTCGCTTTGAGCATCGGTAAATACGTAAACTACGTCCCATGAGCGCGCTCGCTCGCTCGCTCGCTTCCACCACGAATTCGCTATTCTCGCGAATTTCGCGCGCCGTCTGTTTCGCCGCGAACGCCACGACGAACGTCGTGCGCACCGCGACCGCGATAACGCACGCAAAAACACACACCCCCCGGCGCGCGCGCCGACACGTGCCGCGATCTTCGTTTTTCCTCATTTTCCCAGGCGATTCTACGCGACATGCATTATGCTTCGGTGCGAGCGTGTTTCTCCCCCCCCCCTCTTCTCCCTCTCTCGCTCTGTCTCTCCTACTTTCTTTCCCGCTCGCGTCATCCATTTTCGATTCCGCGCCAGCTCGCGCCACCCTTGCCGCCGCGACCCCCTCCCTTTTTTCTAAGGTTACGGCGACGCGGTTTCACGGAAAATCCGCGAGCGTGTGACGAGGCTGGCTGGCTGCTGCTGCTGCACGGGGGTGACGGCGGACGGGTGAGAGGGAGGGTAGCGCGAACGGGGTGGCTAGATGGGTGCGGGAGGACGCGGCGAGGGACGGAGAGGGCGAGGGAGGTTGCCAACATCGTGCAACGAATGGAGATCGATTCCGAGTCTGGGTCAGGCGAGGGCGTTCACCCCCCGGTGCAGCCCGGGAGACACGGAACCCAGGGTCGTAGCTAGGCTATCACAGGCGGGGTACTGGCCGGGGGTTGCGGGGCAAGAGGGCGGCCGAGGGCCGCGGGGGTGGCAGAGCGCGAGGGGGAGGCGAGGGCTCGCTCGGGACACTCCCTTCGGTTGGGTGCAACGTACGCTGACTCTCTGTCCGAAATCGCGGCACCGGATTTCTGCCGCAGCCCCGAGCTGCGACCGGCAGTCCGGCCGAGACGATGCGCAGCTCTCTTCTCGCCGTTAACACCCCTCGTCGGCACTTCCGAGTGATTTAACGCCTCGGAAAAAGCCGAGAGAAAGAGGGAGAGAGAGAGAAACTCGCGAGGCTTTTCGCGCTTCGGCGCGATCGTGGTTTTTGTGGATTTTGTTTATTCGCCGTCCACCTGTCACACGAAATCATCCCCCTTCAAGCCGACTGACCGATTGAAATTTCGACTCTGTTCTTACTCCTATCGACGATTGCTTTGGTAATCGCGGACTAACGCGTTGATTGCTGCGGGGATCGCCAGTGTAACCGACGTTGTAATACCGCCCGACGTATATGTAATATATACATATACATACATGTATTATAATAACTTCCGTACAAAATGTAATCTACTGCATGTAACAAATTAGATATGTGGCGGGTAAGCAGCCAATGAAACGAGCTGGCGAATGAAACGCGCATCGGGAATTGCATTTATTTATAGTACCATCGGTAATTCAAACTTCATCCGGGCACGGAAATAATCAATGGAAATCAGCGTGGCGATGAACGCGTCAACGCGTTACAACGCAGCCGCGCGCTTGTGTAATTCCGTAACGCGGGGGCAGCTGTCGCGATTATCGACGTTCGGCCGCGTCGCCAAGTCTAATGAGGTTGATCAGCGTTTCTCGACACTTACTTCCTTCTTACCGACCCACAGTCCCATCGATGCGTCCCGGACCGATTCAGTTTCCACGATCCGTCCGAACTTGTCCGGGACGGTCGCTCGATTCGGCCGACGCTCACGTACCCCGCGGGGTCCCGCGACGCGGCTCGCAGTGCGTATCCTTCGTATCTTCCGCTTTAACCTGGCCACCAGGAGCGAGTCCCAGGACGAGGTGAACGATCGACAGGGTGGTGGTACGTGACCTTTTGCGCGAAGGATAACGGCGGGACGGGAGTTGGAGGGAGGGGAGTGACGGGCGGGCGGAAGAGAGGCTAAGGGGAGCGGGGGAGGTTTGCGCTACGCTAACACGGGGGTGAATGCACGTCCAGGGGGCTTATCCTGCAACTTTTCGACGCATGCGTTTCCGTATTCCGGAAATCTTCGCAGCGCGGCGACGTCATCGCGTCGTGTGTGTCCCCGCGTAACTCCCTCCCTCCCCGCCCGCCGCGGGCTTGCGTACTCGTCGTCGCCGGCGTCGGTGCTGAGAAGCGCGCACGCCGGCCGATACCTACCTGTCTATCGCTGCGGCGAAAATAATCACGATGCGATTTCCCGCGTTTGAAAATAGCCGTCGCTTTCCGGAGCGGCGATGTGCGCTCGCTCGTTCGTGCCGGCTGTATCAATCTTGTAACAGGTTATTAACCCGCAATAGATTATGAGCTGAAATCGTTGAGGTCATGTTGTGGCTTCGGTGGTGTAATGGATTCTGCTGCATTAATGATGGGCCGCCGCGTGGATACGCGCATTCATACATACATGCATAAACGTACGCGCATTACGCGCCGAGTTAATCCTCCCGCTCCGTCCGGACCAATTTCCTTCCTCGCTTCGGAGCTTTTCGCCAATTGAGCGCGAGTCTTGCGCGCGCGAGGGAACGAGCGGTAAACAAAATCGAGCGAGGAAATTCTATTTCACGATCGGGCGCGCGTGCACACGTGCCGGCCGGTTCCCGGGTGTCGGGGTTCGCTTTTCAGCGGCGGGTCATCCTCGGGAGGGGTTGAATGATTTTTCAGACGCGGGTGAACGCGACGATGAAACTTTGATGTCGCGAGATGGGCGGGCGTGACTCGGCGAAGGGCTGTTCCACGAGATCGGCCTTAATAGCCTACACGGCCCGGGCTGCACCAGGAGTTCAGGATCGATGGATGTGTGCGCCTTATCGGCGCTCTTTTCTCCACTTCTTGCGCTCACGACGCGTCCCGAGGGGGATGTCATGGGCGAAAGGGACGGCCTCTCGAAACGTGAAAATTGGAATTCGTGCGATTTTCTCCGGAACAGAGCGTGATTATTTTTTTTTCGTCCGTCGTCGGGCGAATCCAGCTCGCTGCTGCCGCGGGAGCTTCAGGTGGCCGGTAATACAGTCGCGCTCCCGACGTCGTTGGCATACCTGCGGAGGTAAAATCGATACGACTCGGCGTCCTGTGGTAATCTCGCGCCGAGTTATCTTATCGTGATTATAATATCAATAGGCGTATCGAGAGAAGCGAGTCGAGCTGATACTGCGATAGATAGTTGAATGTGAACCAGTGGCCAAGTTCCTTGTGAGGTCTGAAACGGATCTGAGGAGCACGAGGTTAGTAGACGAACGCTTTGATATGACCGAGTGATGATAAGACCGCGGACGGTTAAGTTGGCGTTATCACGGAGAAGCTCGTCGGTCGGCCGACGAGTAATTCAGGTAATGTTCGACGTGCAAATTGTGCCGATTAGAATAATCATGAAACGTAATCGCGATGATGCGTCGCGTCGAATAAATATGATCCTCATGGAGAAGATAAGGGAGAATTTACGGCGATCTGGAAGTGTCGCCTCTTCGAAAATACGAGGAAAATATATGGAAAATTTAGATAGTATTTCAGAGAATGTGTCAGATGTGATGATGAATTGAATATATTCGGTCTGAAAACACCTAAACCGGAATCAACAGCATGTATTGTTAGAGTCTTCCGTATTACTAAATTCGAACGAGATTTTCCCGTTGTTATCATCACAGGTCGCAGTTCCAAAATCGCCGATCGAAGGTCGTGTCAAATTTTTCCGGATGAGGTTTTACGACGCTCTGCATTTCGACCACTTGATGACCACGTGAAATATTAGCAGGGACAGACTCGTGTCAAGATGTAACGTAACCGCTTCTCAGGGTTCGCATAAATTTTTTATCTTTCGCTTCATGACTGATTAACAAACTAATGAGACGTGAAATCAATGCGTCTTATTGCGTTTAGTTGATAGCAATTTTTTTATCGTTTCATCCGTTTGCTACTCCTTCTCCATGACGGACACCAACAATGCCCCTGCAAACAGTGGACAAACGTCGTCTGCTAACATCCGAGTACCACGCATGCGTGCAATTCGTATTACGGTATTATGTTGTATGCTTCGTCCAGTGGCGGAGCGCCTGTTGGTTGAAGCAGGTTTGTGAGGGACGAAGGAACGAATCTAAATCAATCATGACCGCTTTACTCGGCGTGGGACTCGTGACGTTTGTCTTAGTGATAGTTCTCTTAATACTTAAACATTTCTTCTGGACTGGGCGGCTGAAAAATGTCAAGAACAAGCACATCGTGGTAAGTGTGCATCACCTAACCTCTAAAGAACGTCGTATAGCTCGCATGACGCACCGTTCCAAATATTGACATGTCCGGAACTGGAAAATAAAGAGATTCTTCTTCAAGTACGAAAAAATAGCGCAGCGTATTAAATAGCAATTAACAATACACGAATATGAAGAAAATGAAAGGAAATATAAGAAATAAAGGTAAACAAAAGGAAGAAGGTAAAAGTAAGATTCGAACGGTGCGTCAGATACGTCAACTAAATCAGAATCTGCGTGTGACAACCACAACGGCAGGCCTGGCAATGAAATCCGCTCATGTACGCAAACTTTTCCTTCAGGTGACCGGCGGTTCGAGCGGCATTGGGAAACACGTGGCGATCACCGCCGCCAAACACGGTGCGAACGTGACTATAATCGCGAGGAATGTACATAAATTGGAGGTCGCCCGTAAAGAGATACTGAATGCCCGCGCGAACAAAGACGAACAAATGGTGGAGCACCTGTCGTTGGATATCGGCGCGAATTACGAGAACGTCGACAAGGCATTGGCCGATCTCGAGAAGACCATGGGGCCAATTTACATGCTCATAAATTGCGCCGGTTTCGCGATCCCCGGAAAAATCGAGGACCTCGCGGTGAACAGTTTTCACGAGATGATCAACGTGAACCTTGTCGGCACGTATTACTGCATCAAGGCCGTGGTGCAGCGAATGAAGGCCGCCGGAGAAGGAGCGATTGTGATCACAGCGTCTCAGGCGGCTTTTCTGGGTACGTGAGCGCAATCATACTCTCTGAATTTCTCGCAGTGAAATTTTACTCGACTAGAGTAAAGTGACAGCCGAGTCACACGAATTTGAGTGATTTTTCACTCAGCTAATCCACTTTGATCGTCGACTGAATATAATACTCGCATGGAGTCAGAATCCGCTGTAAGTTTCAGCGAAACATTTATTCTTACGAATTCAAATGGCAATATTTTTACTATCGCAACGAATCAATTCTCATTTGTTCCCGGTAAGATTTTCCTCCAAGAAATTCAGAGAACAATCCGTCGCGTTTTTTATTATACGAGTAACGAAAATACACTTCGTCTTTGTTTCAGGGATCTACGGCTTGGCGGCTTACACCAGCACCAAGTTCGCGCTTCGTGGTTTAGCGGAGAGCCTGGCGATGGAACTGCGGCCGTACAACATCTCCGTCACCCTAAGTTTACCACCGGACACGGACACGCCGGGTTACGCGACGGAGCAGCTGACGAAGCCGCTGGAGACGCATCTCATTTCGCAAACGGCGGGATTAGTCGACCCCGAAGTAGTCGCGGAGAAGTTGTTCAAGGATGCGCGGGTCCGTATACACGATGTGCAGATCGATGTGATTTTTTTATAGGATCTTTTGCAATTTAAACTTCGGTTGAATATTAAAATAATCGAGGTAAATCGTAATAGTAAACGCAGGAATGGGAGCGAGGTTAAAAATGAGTTTCACTCTTGAAGAAGTAAGATAATTGTAAAATAATATTCAATAATATCCAAATTATATGTAAAAAAAAACAATCAGATATGCTCCTGGCGATTATGTCTGTTTTTTGGTTTCGTTTGTCAATAATACGTTTTGACTTGGTGGATAAACAAGAATTATGGATGGACAAGCATAGACAAACGATCCCACTTCTTAATTTAAAGAAAACACAAGTATGGTTTATGACGGTCATTGTCTGTTTTTCTGACAAACCTGATAAAAACAGCTTAACAATAAAGTCACAATTTTTCACTTTATGAACTTTGTATCGCCGAAGTCATTGTTACTTTCTATTTTCATTGAATCTTCTGTTTAATTTCTAAAAAAGCTATTGCTATTGAATATGATTTCTTTTTATAGAATTTTTTTTCAAAGGGTCCAGGTCGAGTAAGAAAAAAGTGATAAGAATGAGAAAAATGAGATGCTTTGAAAAAAATGAAGAAAAGTGAATCGCTCCCATGCCTGTCAAGGCGTTAAAAACATCTAAAAGATGTCCTACTTTTATTAGACATTATCTGAGGATTTTTCAGAAATTTACACTGTCTGTGGACACGCATGTCTGAAAGATGCCTTGGAGAAGACATCTTTAAGACATTCTGCAACTTCGTTCACACTCGACTCGTTAAAACGGCTAAGCACTTTTATTGCAGGCTGGTAAATTCTTCTCTACCGTGGGTCAGGAAGGTTTCATTATGATGACGCTGTGCGCCGGGATGTCGCCGTTCACGTCTATCAGCGAGCTTCTGCTGCAGGCGTCGCTGATGGGCCTGATGCGACTCGTCAGCGCGTTCTACCTCGTCTCCTTCCAGAGGATCATCCTCAACTGCATGAAGACGCGCGACAAAAACAAAAAACTCGAGTGAGCGCGCGCGCGCTCGCATTACTACCCCTGTGATTTTTCATCGCGAACAAAATTCGACGGGATGTCGCTAACTAGTTGAAACATAATTTTTTCGTATACTTTTTATAATTTAATACGATTCCAATTAACGTTTCTCTTTGTTTCACTTTCTAACACGATTCATCATCGTAACACCCGTGTTTCGCACAACGTTCGTTTCTACTTCACATTCCCCTTCTCAATTCTCGAAATTCTTCGTCGTGCAACATAATACATGTTAATGTTATGTAACACGTAACGCAACACCTCGAACAGAGAATCTCCCAAGGAGAGAGAATAAAACTCGCTGTGCTCTTAACGGTTTGGCTTACTTTTATTTAGTATCCCGTAAGTTCATAGTATAATGTGTTTTTTTTTTTTTATTAAGCTTTATGGTTCTTACACACATAGAACGGGACCGTTCTTCGTCCCGTTTCGCCACGATAGTCGAAAAACGTAAAAGTGATGCGGAAACTCGTATTTAAAGGGTTTTCGCCCGGCGGACGCGGACGGACGCTCCGTTTCGGACGTCGGTCGCGGTTGACGATGGAGAGCGTGTCGTGCGCGCGATCGCCTCGCCGCTGATAAACGCTGATCGCACGCGCGCGCACGACGATTACGAGCCGGACGTGCCGGGCGTTCCCGGCGAAACCCGACGCGACGTGTCGTTCTCGGCTACCGCGACCGGCCGACGCGCTCGAGGGCGCGCCTCCGCGTCCGCGCGAGCTGTCGAAACCGAGACCGAACTTATGGCGCATAGAAACGGCGGTCAACGAAGATTTTGTCTCCCGAGACTCTGCGAGTCGGTGTAATGATTGGGTTTAACATTGATTTATTATCTCGCTTTCGCTCGCTCTGCATCTCTCTCTCGCGCTCTCTCTTTCTCTCTGCCTTTCGCTCTTTCTTTTCTCAGACTTTCGCTCTTTCTCTCCCGCTCTCTCGCTCGTTCCTCGCGCATTCTCAAATTCTCTCTCTCTCTCTCTCTCTCTCACTTTCTCACACACCGTACGTCACTCGCTCTTAAACATCCTTCGCCTCCCTCGGCATCATCTCGTAGATTCGTTAAAGTCTATTTTTCTCGTTAAACCCTAAAGCGCTTAAGGTGTACAGATGCGAATCTACGAGACGAGGCTCGCCTCGAGGGATATATAATATATATTTATATTTTCAGTGTTCTGCTGTTTTTCTCTTTAACTTATACGCTTACTCTTAAATCGATGTCCGCTTATCCGCGCGCTCGACAAATTCGCGTCCACCGGCCTCTTCGTCTTCTATTGTGCACGCGTGCACGTCGCCACCTCTCTCTCTCTCCCTCTCTCTCTCTCTCTTAATCTAATTTCAACTGTCCCGCGGGTATAATGTCTTCCCGTATTAATTCACCTTCGTCGAGCGTTCGAATCGGCAGACGTGTGTTGCGTTAGCGATTAATTAGACCCTTTACTACGTGTTGATCTGTCGCGTGCCGTCAACGAAACGCCCGTTAACGTAGGATCTCGTGTTCTTTTTTTCTTTTTTTTTTTTCAAACGGTTAATAAGAACGGCTGTCGAACTCAATTTGTCACCGCGATGGCTTTGTTCTTTTTTGCTTTTTTTTCCCCCCCTTGTCGAAGCTCCTGACTTACGAGGTCTCTCATCAATTGGCTCGTCTAAACGGGTGCAACAGAAGAAATCGCGTTCTCGCGTTGAAAGGGAATCGATCGTAACGCGTGACGACCCGAATCGCGTAATCCTCGGCGCGTGTGCGAGTCTTCCGAGTCGTACATTCGGGAGCTTCTTACGATGCTCGCGTGCAACGGCGCTCGCGTGACCGCGCGTTCCACGCGAAAATGTGTTATCAGCGACAATTAAAGTATTATCCGGCCCGTCCCGAGGGTGTCGATCGACGACAAATGGATTCTTCGTGTTCGTTTTTCTAACCCTCCACAGCCTCCTCGGCGTGACGAACGCCCGTCCGTTCGTCCGAGCGAGAGAAGCGAAGCGCACGTTCTCGCGGAGCGCCGTATCTCGACGACCGGACCTCGACATCGTCGGCGTATCGCTGGGAGCTCGCGGTTGCAAAATAACCGCCCGCCCCCCGTCGACGAGCGGAGGCGTGGAGGGTTAAAGTCGCGACAATCGTGCGCATTCTTCCCCGAGCTGGTGACCACCATTTTGCGATCTCTCTTCGACGTCGTCTGACGCTCGTCTAAGAAGTTCCGCGATGACATTTCGCTCGCTCCTCGTCTCGAGATCGCTTTCCGGTGACCTGTCTCTTCCCTGCCCCCCTCCCGCCCTTCCTCCCATTCTCTCTTTCTGACGGAGTTGCGTAATCGATTTCCGGAGGATGTCCTACCCGCGTTCACAAAGAATTCTCCGAGACCGCTCGACGGCGCGGCAACAGGATGGATCGCGTCGGAATTGGAATCCCAGCGACTGAGATCTATTTCTAGGTCACCGCTTCTCCCTCATTCCTCTCTTTCCGCCTCTCCCTTTCTCCGACGGCGCTCTTTACCGCCCGCTCTCTCTCTCTCTCTCTCCCCCCCCCCC